TATAAACCATAGAAGTGCTATCATATTGAATAATGAGTAATAAAAATTATAATGTTAATGAATAACATATAAACAAAATCACTAAAATCAAAATAATTTTTTTTATATTGTAACATAAAAATGTTCATTTTATATAACTTAGAAAGAAAAAAAATACATAACTATAGATATAAAAATTCTATATCTTACAGTTCATTTTATATCTTCACCTTGAGTTTCTTCATTAATTTCATTAAGTAACTCCTCATGCAACCATGAAAATTTTTGTTCAATATCAAGTGTAGCTTTCTCTTTCTTCAATCCATGCATTTAGTACGTCATCTTCTTCAAAAATATTTTCAAGATTAATTGGATTAAAATTCATTTCTAATTCTTGTGCAATTTTTCTTTGTATGTGTCTTAGCTTCAACCTCATATTATAATGGACATAAACCAATTTTTGAAATTTTTTATGCTTGAGTCTATTTATGTTCATTGTATGGATCAAACTAAAAGTACTCCAATTACGTTCACAATTTGAAGATGAAGTTATTTGACTCAAAACTTTGATAATAATGCGTTAAAGTTGCGGTGCACAATTTCCATAATTAATCCACCTTTCAGCTACAAAAGACATAAATATTAAGTTATAATTCATGAAGTATTTATACAAATATCTTTATTATCTACAAAACTATAGAGGATAAAAAAAAATTGTTTACCAAGGTTAATCTTCAAAATTGCAGTTTGAACTAATGGTGTTCCAAAAGAATCCATCTTATCTCGATATAGCAACAACTAAAAAAATAAATGAATTAGTAGTTTAAACATTTAATTTAATTTAAAATTAATCACGTTAATTTTAGATATAAGAAAAAATAATTTAATTTAATTTTAAAATAACGTTAAAAAATAATTTAATTAATTTAAATTTAAGTAATTATTACGATATTATTAATGATATATATTTATAATCTAGTTTTAAGAATTAAATTAGAACAATTCATCTATGTAATTTTATAATTAGATAATTTAAAATTTGTTGCGGCTTTGCGGCATAATTTATAGCGTGTTGCGGTGTTACGTAACGGTTTTTGATTGCAACAATCGTAATACGGTTCTCTTATCACATTGTGCCGATATTATGTAGCAGTAACCTTAAAAAATGTTATAATGTCATCGTGGTAACCTTAAAAAATATTATGATGTAAGCTTTACGCTGCATTGTGATAAAAAATATTATGATGCCGGCTTTACGCTGTATTGTGACCGCAATTTGGTTCTTTGTGGGTAGTTATTGTGACAATCATGATAACTACGGCAATCGCGATAACTGGTCTGGACGGAAATAAGAGATCTGCTTCAACAGTTCATAAGTTTTTGTTATACATAAAACTTAAAAGGAAGATCATCACCATCATCATCATCATCATCATATATATATATATATATATATAGAGGTCTTGCCCACAAAAAAATGTTACAGAATTAAAGCAAAACTCATGAACTTCACAATCTGAATTTGAAAAAGATAACCAAGGGCTTGAACCAGTAATCAGATCAGCAACCACACATATATATACACTTTGGAGATCAGATATTCAGATAGATACATATAGGTATTTCTGTTCCATCACTGTATTCACACATGCAATTCTCTGCTGATGATGATGTTCATCGTCATCCTCCTCTACTTCAACAGTTCATTCACCCACCCAAAATCGGGATCAGAATCACAGCCCACAACATTTTCATTGAAAGATTTCGAGGTTGCACCAAAATGTTCTCCGGTGAAAGGGGAAGAAGACCAGGGAAAGTTTGTTGTCGTCGGGTTGTTGTTCCCGCCGGCGGCCATAGATGAAGAGGCTTCACAAAAATTCATGTTCTCCAAAGAGCTCATGAGCTCGTTAAGAACTTGCTGCTGGTAGCTCGTCGTTTCGGTTCCAAGCTTACTCAAGCGATCGCTGTACCTAGAAATGGGAGAAAGCCCATTTAAAGATGTCCGCTGCTTGACGGGAGATAATGGCGGTGATGGCGATCTCGATAAATGAGACCAACCCAAGAGAGTGCTCGTGGGAGAGTGACAAAACAAGCAGCAACGGTTGCCATCCTTGTACTTTGGAGATCCCTCGGCAGGCAAGAGACGTAGCTCGCGAGAAGAGTGAGCGAAAAAGCAAACCTTCCGCTTGCAGTTCTTCCCATCCTTACAAGCCTCGGTTCTGTAGCGTGTAGGGTGCAGCCAGCACTCGAACACCCCATGCGCGAAGTCACAATCGTCCCCACGAGGACATCCGTCGCCACGACGGAACTCGTAGCATACGGTGGAGGAGTAGCTGTAGTGACGAGGATCACGGCGGCGGGCCTTCTCTCCGGGATGAGCGAAGGGACAGTCAGTCCAATCGTGGCTCCTGCTCCTTGTGCATCTCCTCACCTTGAACTCTTACATACGGAAATGATCAGCACCATAGGGATCACCGTCATTCTCTTCGTCCTCTTCATCGATATTCCTATTGGAAAGAAGATACTTCTCGAATGCAGCTTCGTAGGGAGAAAGTTGCACATTGTGAGAAGCCAGGAACTTGAGTTGTTGCTCAGCACAAGCGGTGCTCATCTTTTAGAATGAATAGGGAAAATAAAGGAATATTGGTTTGAGATCTCGATGTGGGATAGAGAACAAAAGGGGAGGCTTAGATATAGAGGGGGCGAGTGGCTTGAAGTGGGGAGAAAGAGAACGTGACAAGGGTATGGGCAAAAAGCTTCGTGGCTGCATAGCATTAGGGATGAACATGCGAAAAGCCATACGTGGCAACTTCACAACGCGAATTAGGCTAGATTTTGCTATGTGTTGGTCTATTATTGAGAATTCAGAGGATCTGAGTGGTTTTTGGATTTTACTTTTTGGTTTTTTTATGGGCTGACAAATCATACATTGATCCTTCTCATGGATTTGGAATTTTGGGATCAAAGAGTCCAACAAGTGGCATCCCATTGTCAATTTAATACACCATCGAGCATGAGGTAGGGTAAGTATTCGATTAACCTCAGTTGAATAAAAAAAATTTTGAATTGATGAATTTTATTTTATAATTTAAATTTTATTTAAAAAATTTTGAGTTGATTTATTTTAATTTTTATTTAAATTTAATATTAAATATTTATATTGTTATGATATTATTTGATATTAATTTAAATGATTTTTTATAACCATATATGATACATATATTTTTTCATATTATATATATATATGTGTGTGTGAGAGCGCGCGCATAGTGATAACTCTCCAAAAGAGTTATCTTTAGTAGCCTTAATTATCTAGGTTTAGTTTGAACTTAAGCATATTTAGGAGCATTTTAGGATTAAATTTGTGTAATTTTTCATATTTTGCATCTTAGGAGCATCGTGGGTTGCTAAGGGCTAAAATTGATTTTTGTTGCTGAAAACTATTGCACTCATGCCGTAGCACTGCATGAAATGTTAATCAAATGCTATAGCAGTTGTCTAAGCTCCAAACGGTTAAAAGAACCTTTTCGGTTGGGATAGTTGGCTCGGGTAGCTGTCATGTGGATGGATAACATTTGAAACGTGGACCTTTTTCAGTGGGCGATGAAATTCTCATCCAAGCTATAAAAGGGAAGTATTTGGGTAAAAAAAAAGGGATGAGTGTGAAAGATCAAAAGTACCATTTTTCACGTTATTTCTTCTCAAGCCATGGACGTTTAAATCCTCTGTCAGGGATTGCTACAACACAAATGAAGCTTTATGAGGAGCTTCAGAGGTCAGCGGATCACAATTCAATGCCTTCTATTGAGATATGGGCCTTGAACTTTATGGATGTGAGTAGAAGTACTTATAAATAGATATATAGTATTTTCATTTAAATCTAGAAATATTTTAATTCGAATTGCTATACACTTGTGTGAGCATTACTGTTGCTGAGTAGCATAGTGTATGCTGAAGAACATGCAACCAATTGATTAGTGTTGTTAATATCTTGAGCCTTTAAGATAAGAAAGTTGTTAAAGTAGTTCAAGAGGTTTTAATCAATGTTGATTGCATAAATTGAGTATTGAATGTGTTCATGAGATTTGAAGTTCATAATATTATATCCATTAATTTGATAGTACACCAAGTACTTCCTGTAATATTATAGTATGAACTTGTGTTTTTCTTTATTGATTTTAACATATTCTCTTTAGCATCTCATATATTTGATAAATCATATTCCTACAACCTATAATGATAACATTCTACTCCCTGTGGGTTCGACATCCGAAACTTTCGAAGTTTCCACTTTATTAATTGATTTGCGATACGTGCACTTGTGTAATTACTATAGCATTTTCATAGCATCAAGTTTTTGGCGTTTTTGGCAGGGAGTATCAATTTGATTTAGAGTTCTTTTAATTTTGCGTACTTTTTTGTTTTATTTTGTATGTATTCTTAGTTTCTGTTTTTACTAGTGTATGCCCCGAAGAGACGACGACTTAGAGCTACTTGATCCAAAGATTGAAAGAACATTTCGCAGACGTCGCTGTGAAGTTACTATGTCTAGATGAGGGAATTATATCTTACCCCTGCTGCAGAATGGAGAGAATGATGAGCTTTTGGCTTATATTGGAGTTGAGCAACCACATCAGAATGTAGATGATAGAAATTGCCCTATTCGTGAGCATGTGGTGCCAACATTGGATGATTTGTATCTGGGCATTATGAGGCCAGTTATTAACGATGCAAACTTCGAATTAAAGCCATTTATGTTCCAAATGTTAGAATCTATGGGATAATATAGAGGTTCTAATATTGAAGACCCTAGAGCTTATTTGAGAGTTTTTATGGAGGTTTGTGATTCTTTTATTCAGCAATATGTTCCGGATGAGGCCCTGAAGTTGAATATATTTCCCTATTCATTGCGTAATAAAGCATGTGTTTGGTTGAGTTCACTACCTTCAAGTGTTGTAGCATCCTGGAATGAATTAGTGCAGAAGTTCTTGTTGCGATTCAACCCACCGAATATGAATGCTAAGCTTCGAAATGACTTAACTTCATTCAAGAAGATGAATATGAAAGCTTGAATGAAGCATGGGAAAGACTTAAATATTTGTTATTGAAGTGTCCTATGCATGGTTTCCCACATTAGACTCAAATGGTGTAACGTCCCATATTCGATCCACGAGTCTGAGCCGGATATCTGAGCGTACATTAGGTTCCAATCGTGTTCGATGAATCAGGATCCACATTACGCACATTTCCCAGTCTATTAATATTCATCACACGCAATGTTCAATGTAACTAACATACAATTGAATCTCAATTAAACATGCAAATTTGCATTTAAATGTTTAGGGGCACTTTGGTTATTTTACGTCGAAAAATAAATCAACAAGTCAAATCACCCAATTAAGGTTACCACATATTAAACATTGTTATAAGGAAGCAACACGCAAAATTGTATACCAATCGGACATCAGACAATCACTAAATTGATCATTCAAGATTAGGGACCTAAATATAAATATACAAAACTTACGTACCAATCAATAACATGCAATTGAAGGTTAATTTATATAATTAAGTGTGTTTAAGAAGTGATCACTCACATGTCATCAAATTTCCAATTTAAGAGTTCAAGTAATTAAACAAATCAATTTCTGGGTTAAATTAAACTCATACAATCATTCAGGGGTCTAATTAGAATTTAAGAACACTTCAGACCTTTAATGAATGCAATTTCACCTTTTTTCTTTGAAGAAAAACAACGAAAGGAATGATCATTTCTTTAAAGGGATTGATTCTTTTCACGGGGGATAGATCCTTTTGAAAAGGGATCGATTATTTGCAAAACATAAACTTTAGGATCGATCATTTCCCCTAAAGGATTGATCATTTTTCTGAAAAACTGCATATTTATCAAGAACATGCATATTTGGTCAAATAATCACCCAAATAAAAGTATTCATGGACTATGAACATGCTTGGACACTATTCAACCACTTCATACATGTCAAAACAAAAGTATAGCATGCTTTATAACACAAGTCAACACATTAATCAAGGATTTGGCACCAAAAGTCAACAAATGCATAAAAGTTCATTTCAAGCACAAGTTACTTACTCATTTTTGGCATTTAAGGTCGTTTCATGCAACCTAAGAGTCTAACATGTTTAGTTTACCAAGTTACACTTAACTAAACACTCCAAATGCTTTTTTAGGGTCTAAAACAATATTTGAGTAATCTCTTGCTTCAAGCAACAAGTTCATACTTATAAATCCAAAGTCAACAAATCAAACCAACATCAAATCCCAAATGTAAATCCACTTATTAAAAATTAAAATCCAACAAAGTGGATAATAGGTCTAATTCCCAAACGTCCCAAATTGCCATACAAATTTCCAGAAATCACATACGTATAGCTTTATGTCTTAGCCATGCTTGATCACACCGATGCCAAGCTCCTCGCCTCCAAACTCGGCTCTAGTCCTCTGAAAAATGTTAAAAAAAAGTTTGAGCTTATAAAGCCCTATAAATGACTAATATTCAAAGCAATGCACATAACCAAGATAAAGATCAATCCTATATACTCATACATAACTTGTTCTTTACTCTACACATATAATTCAACATCTCATTCTTGAATAATCAGCTAACATGTTCCAAATCACTTGATTTCCATATTAAATAAATATCAAGGACCATATAGTTTAAAAGCATTCATAAGCACACATGCATAATTACCTACCTTGACAAATCACACATATTCTTCCATTTTAAGATCAATGGCTTTTCTTCGAAACACAACTCACTCATTGGATAAATGGACTCTATATAACTCCCATTTTTCTTACGGACTCATATAGGTCTAAAACCACGAATTATAGAGCAAACTCAACGCCCAACCTTACCCCGTATCTTCTCGTTGCATAGCTCAATGTACCATCTGAACCCCGTATACTCCTGAATCACACACTAATACAAAACACAGAGAGTAGTACTCTTTCCTAGGCATGCCTTTCATATCCAAAGTTCCTATTAAGAACAACAACCAATTAATCCAATTCATTAAGAATGGTTGTCAATGATGCATAGTTTTCACATATTGATTCAAATATATTTTGAAACACGCTTACGAATGGTTGTCTTGATCAACCCACATATTTGGACAGTGATAAAGTTCAGCTCATCCAATACACATTCAGAATATACAAATATTTTCACAAACCATTTCCAAAATCCTATGCATCATTTGTAACACATCACATTTATAATTCACATTTTCATTTTCGACACAAGTGATATCGTATGTATATCAACATAATTCATATTTCATCATCATAATTAACCAAATAACACAACATATATCGGGATTAACAAATGCAACACTATACAACCTCAACCTTGAATCATGTTCATTTCCTAAGAATGAGAGCCACTCACCTTGTTGTCCGAAAGTCGAAAATGCTTCCAAACACTAGCTTAACATTCACCAAACTCAAAGCACCAAGTTTCCTCAACTAACAACACAATAAGAACCTTGCAAAGCAAAGTAACACATCAAAATCTTATCTAAAACAAAGAAGAGTGCTCTGTTTCTAAAACATAGGGCAAACATCGAAAACACCAAAAACCTTACCGAAACGTCAATCTGAAAAGATCCAAACCAAAATGCACGAATATCCGTACTAAAAGCTGATAAACAACAATTATAATCGACATCTAACTCAGCTAGAATCACACAAATTAACATCTACAAACCTAAATTCTCGAATTCCAAAAAATACCAAAAATCGGCATTATTTTCAAGAAATCAATATCCAAATCATTTGCAATAAAAAAAAGAATTTAATATGGTTATAATTACTCCAAAAACAACTCAATTTCATTAAGAAAACCTCCAAACCAATTCAAGAAAACAACACATTAATTAGCTTCAAAAATTCAATTGAAACCTTAGAAATTCTTACAATTAAATCAATAATTCAATAGAATCCTTAACACTTAGTCACTTGCCCTCGAAGCTTAAAAGAAAACCAAGGAAAAAATCCTTACCTTGCTGGAAATATATTGAAATTGAGATCATCAATGGAACTCCAATATGATCAAACTTTAAAAACAATAAGAAAAGAGAAGAGAAACTTGAGAATTAAAATCAAAATTGAGATGAGTGAATTTTAGAAATCAAGAAGAAAAACAGAAAGAATTGATTAGCTTGTTTGGGAGAAAATGAGATAAAATTGAGGAAGTTAAGAGAAGTTACTAAAATGTAAAATAAGAATGAAATGAAAAGCACGTGAATAAAAACAAACAAATGTAATTTAGATTAAAATGAATCTAGATGGAAAAATGGTAAAAAGGGAAAATCAAACATGTTAATTTTGAAGGGAAAACTCTAAACATAAGCCTTGGTGTAATTGCTTCATTGACTTTGGACATTTTGAAAATTTACAAAATGATCACCGAAATTATAATTTCTATTTTTTTTAATTTAGTCATAAAATCATTTAATTAAACTTCCATAATTAAAATTAATAGTCTAAAATCACTTAAAACCTTTCCAAAATATGAATTTTAGAAATGTTTCTTCCTTTTTATCGGAAATCCAGAAATTGGCCCGAAATTGACCCTAACTACCAAACCCGTCTTTAGAACGTTATAATTCTCTCCCCCTAAAAAGAATTTCATCCCTGAAATTACCTTAGCTAAACAAATGCGAAAATTGAGCTCTCATCGACTCTTCCTTCTCCCAAGAACCAACAAAATCAATCACGCATGCCCGAAGCCTATCCTCCAAAACCTGTATCACACGCTCAGATTGCCCATATATCTGTGGATGATAAGTCATGCTCAAACTAAGCTTTGAACCCAAAGCCTTATACAAAATTCGCCAAAACCTCAACGTAAATCGCGAATCACAATCCAAAATGATCGATAAAAGAACTCCATGCAACCGCACTATCTCAGTTATGAACAATTCAGCCAACCTCTATGACAAACACATAATATGAACCAGTAGAAAATAAACACACTTAGTAAACCGATCAACTATCACCCAAATCGAATCCTTCTTCGATGGTGTCAACGGCAAACCAGTCACAAAATTTATCGTAATATGTTCCCATTTCCACTAAGGAATATTAATCTATTGCAACAAACTCAAAGGACACTGATGCTTGGCTTTAACACGCTAACAAACCAAACATTGTCTGAAAAACTCAACAACAACACGCTTTAACCCATGCCACCAAAATAACTCACACAATTCGTGAAACATCTTTTTACTACCCGGATGCATCGTAAATGGTCCACTATGTGGCTCTACGAGAATCTCACGCCTTATACCCTCATCCCTCGGCACACAAAACCTACCTCAAAATCACAAAACACCCTCAGAGTTTAACGAGAAGTCACCTCCAACACCATATTTCACTAGCTAACACGTTTATTCCAACTTCTCGTCACTAGGTTGAAAATCTCGAATACATTGAGACCACATAGACTTAACTCACAACTCAGCTACTAACGCTCCATCCTTACCCAAACTCAAACAAGAAAACAACACTCGTAACTCACCCGTCGACTTACGACTCAAGGTGTCCGTAACCATGTTAGCCTTACACGGATGGTGCTCAATCATACAGTCGTAGTCCTTCAACAACCCAACCCAATGCCTCTGCCTCAAATTCAACTCCTTCTGAGTGAGGAGATATTTGAGACTCTTATGATCAGTGTAAAGAATATACTTCTCACCAAACAAGTAGTGGCGCCAAATCTTTAACGCAAACACTACTGCAACCAACTCCAAATCTTGCGTAGGATCATTACGCTCGTGCGGCTTCAACTGTCCCGAAGCATAGTCAACTACATTTTCATATTTCATCAACACGCACCCAAGACACACAATTATTGCATCACTTAAACCATAAAATCCCTTTTCGACACCGGTTGAACTAACACTGAAGCCTCTATCAAAGCTGACTTTAACAAATCGAAACTATTATGCCTTTCACTCGTCCATTCAAACTTAAAATCCTTTTGCAACAATTTAGTTAATGGAGAAACTACCCACGAAAAACCCTCAACAAACCATCTATAGTACTCCACTAACCCCAAAAAACTGCAACCTCAACAACA